GTCCCACTGTGGAGAGACCTTGCAGAGGCCAGGTACCCCCCAATGGAGACGCACTCAGAAGAGTCTGATGCGGACTCTGACGTCACTGGCGTAAGAGAGTTGTCGCCCAGGTACGCACAGCCAGTACCTGTAGGGACAGCTGACCCCGTAGAACAGGCGGCAGAAGAGTCGATAGAGGAAGAGGACGCAGCAGTGGACCCTACATATAACTTTGCACAAGGATATGGGCGTTTCGCCATTCGCTATGCTAGGCTGGCCTCAGCATTGGGCAATTTTGAACAAGGCAATGCCCAGACAGAAAGCACAGTGGTGGCAGGTTGGCTAACCTCACGACTGGAAATTGCCATGTACAGAATGGGTTGGAGTCTCCTCTCGCCGCGCCAAGAACTTACTCGACTTAACGCAGGGACACTCTACAACCATTACCACTATGGCTACCCTCGGATGGTCGACCATACCAGAAATATGGCAACGTGACGCGTACGAACGAACAGTGGGAGGAACTCGGCTATTGGCTTACGGGGGACCCAACATTCTTGGGCAAAGTAGAGCGCCGTAAGAAAGAACTCAAAGACAAAATCGCGGGCAAACGAGACGACGTCGACAACCAAAACAAAGCCCGGCGCATTGCCCCCCCTGTTGGTGGAGGCAGTTCGTCCTCTGCTGCCCGTCCCCATCATCGCAACCGGCCCCCCCCGCCGCCTCCGCCAAGAGGGTGGTGGCAGTGAAGGGTGACCACCAGATAACTACAGGGCTCTCGGTCCCATAACCTCCGTGAAAGTGGTGGCCTTAGCCATTGTTTTCCTCTGCTGAGTGTGATACCCTAGTCATGAGCTATGCAACTGTTTGGCTCAAACAGGCCGAGTAGACATAGACAAACTGCCGCAGTTAGGGATGATGCCGCATGGCCATGACAAGCACGCCATTGACATCATTTTGGTGACACTGGCGGGCAATGAATATTCCACGCAGGCAAATCTAACCCACTATGACGACCTCACCCAGCTGGAGGATGACATCATCAGTTTTCTCCCAACCGTTTCGGACATAGAAGTATTTGGCTGCGAAGTTGACCTTATCGAGCCAGATACCCAACTACCTTTATCAGAAGACTTCCATACTACGCTACTGCAACAAAACAAGCTGCATCAATCCTGGCAAAGAGATTGCGGATCGAGCCTTTTATGCGGCACCAATGCTCCGGCATGTGGAAGTGGCTGCGGGGATCAAGCACATGGGTTTTGCTGCTTGGCAAGGCTGCCAACAACTGCAGATTGTCAAACTCCCACCCTCGGTCATCAGTCCTGAAGATGGAGCCTTTCAAGGCTGCTACGTCCTCAGGGAGGTTGTAGCCCCGGGCTGTGTCCAGTTCAGCCGAAGAAGAGTCTTCGCCGAGTGCTGCTCCCTCAGCAGAGTGGGCATCGGCAACGACGAGGAGGCAACTAATGTTCTTGCGCCGGGGCGCAGCTGGGCCGCTTTGCGTTCGAAAGCTGTCTCACGCTCACCTCTATCACTTTCGCCATGGACCACACCAATAAGCCTCGCACCCTGCCAGATGGCAGTTTCTGCGGAGCTGGCATCGAAGCCTTTGTCTCCCAGGCGACTTTCACAACATAGGCCCGAGGGCCTGTGAAAACTGCAAGCGATTGGTCGAGGTCAACCTCATGTGCACAGGCATCACGGTAATCCTCAACTCAACGTTTGCACACTGTGTCGCTTTGTCTGACATCTGGCTACCGCCAAGACTGGTACGAATTGGCAAAGAAGCGTTCCTCAGTTGCACATCGCTTCGAGAGGTGGTGATCCCGACAGAACTCCAGGACATAGGCATTCGTGCCTTCTGCGGGTGTGAGCAGTTGGTGCGTTTCACGCCCCTTGACTGGGGAGAGGTCGATAGAACCATTCAAGCAGAACATAACGCCTTCCTGATGTGCGACAACTTTGACAGAGCATCTTGGGTGGAGCTCCTACCACCGGGGGGGAACCTGACTCTGATGCCTTTGACGAAGAGCCCCGTACCGAATTCCCATAACCTAATTTGGTCCGCAAGCAAGGCAGCCAACCAGGTGGCGAATGAATGGCCTCAAGGGCCTTTGACATCAGGGATCTTGACGTGAAGGGCTTTGAGTGCACTGGTGGCGAATGAATGGCCTCA